TAGTGTTAATTTGAGACTCTTACAAGAATGAAACCCAGCTCTGATGATGTCCATCATATGATGGACGAAAACTCAGCACATTTTCACCCGAAACGAGGGAGAAAGACTGGTGGATTGCGTCAACATGAATATAATATAAAAATTGAACGGCTGCAGTACAACGATTTTCATCCGTCCTCATCTGGTGAGATCGACAAAAGAATCTCTTCTTCATGTACTTTCATTCAAAATGAAGGTCCCCCTAACAATGTTATCTCAGGAGATTCATCGAAACCAAGTTTCTCTTCGTATCTATAAATATTCTTAACCAAAAATACTCCTTATTCTTCTCGGTTTTTGATCCTGATGCTTGACATCTGCCAGACACAGGCCTCTTATTATCATAGACTTTATAACTCCTACTTCAACCTTATAAGTGTGGTTGGAGAAAAAATTTAAAAGGAAACCAGGTAATAATATTATTTTTTTCCCTCTTTGTTTCAAAGCCTCCAATTTTGGAGTTGTAGAGTACAAGAGTTTAATATTTTAGAGACAGTCCACATCCTTCTTGGAATATTGAAAGACGAAAACCTTTAGTACTAACGTCTAATGCTTTAGTGGGATGAGTAGATGCTTTGTATAATTTATATTCACTTTCAACCAGAATACTGTACAGGGGGCTAGACATGAGAACGAGGATGCCCAGAAGTAAAAATAAAGTCTCGACATAACATGGTCAGTTAAACATTGGCTGAAATTTACACCATGAGATATACCTCAAAGGCAGCTCCGAAGAATCCTCCCTTCCCTTCACCATACGTGAAGATGAAGTATATATGCCTTCTGTGGCTACTTGACAACTAGTCACTTGGCCACTCGGGGTACTCAGCATGGGCTCAGTCAGGGATTCATGTCGGCTAGGTACAGGAGATGAAGAGGAAGAAGAGGATGCAGATAATATGATGGTAGGAGATGCAGAGGTTTGCTGCGTAACTATTGATTGAGCGAGATAACCTTGAGGCTGACCCTTAGTCCAGACTGTGGAGAATAGTGTCGGCGGGTCGTATTCCAAGCCCAGCTCTAATGGCGGGGGTGCTCGGGTTGGTAATGGCGAATAGGTATTAGTGTGGTCTTTCCGCAAAAGGGGAACACTGACGATCGGCACCGTCGAGACAGAATTTGTAGAGGCGGTGAATGCGGAGACAGGATTTTCTGAGACAGGTGAAAGCACAATCTTTTGCAAGGGAGTCTGGGTTTGCGTCTGTGAAGGACGAGCATTAGAAGTTGGGCTATTACTTTCATTGGGGACGGTCCCAGGAAGACTGGCATAACTGTAGCAACAGCCTCCTGATATAACGCCGTTATTGCTGATAGAGCCATTGGGAGGCTGGCAGACGCGAATAGGAATCACAGTTACAGTGAGTCGAGGCCTTTTTGGAATAATCTCGGCAGTAGGTGAGGGGTCACTGGAGTCGGAGTCTACTGGAGGGGTTGTGGGGTGTCCGAAAGGGAGTAGGCAAAGTAAAAATTATAAGTATTGTATATAAGGAAAGTAGCTAATTCTCGATGAATCTTTTAAGAGACCTAAAATTTCATATCTAGTGCATGATGATGGGATTCGTTTGTTGATCTCACTGGAAAACGACACCCAATTCCCGTTGTTGTGTAGCTGTTTGGCTTTAATACGACGTTCAGGTTAATCAAGTCTTCGAGGCATCTTCCCTCATTTTGGGTTTAACCGGGCCAAGTTTTCGACCATTATAGATAAACACCGAGCTATAATTCGTCTTTGCAAAAGCCTCAAGCCAAACACCCGCCAGTTCAGGGTCATTAAGGCCTGACTGGGATGGCGTATTCTCGTAATTCTGGTTTGAATGATAAGCTTAATCTAGAATGAATGAAGTCAGAGCCATCACTGAGCAAACAAGTTAAGTCGTCTTCTTTTGGAAAACAGCTCAAAACCCTCTGTCTACTTCAAGCTTTCAAACAAGCATAAGTAATTCTCTCAACTTTCTATCACCAGCGTCCCATTCAACGTACTCCTCAATCTATCAAGTTCAATAGTCTCTCTTAGCTTTAGTTCATGACCATTGGACCCAGATGCCTCAAGCCTTTTCGTGTTCCACTAATCTTTGTCGAATAGGCCGAAACGTTTCACCAACATAAGGTTGATCACAGGAGATACAAAATTGTAGCAGCCTTACTTCCATAATAGTTCATATTTCTCTCCAAACTATGACACAACCGAAAAAAATATCAGGGTTTCTTTGAACACTGTTTTTACCCTCCAATTTCTCAACAGTTCGCCTATCTTCGTATAAAGAAGGCCTGACAGCAAAATTAGGACACGATAAAAGATTTCAGCTTGCCTATCCTTGATTAAGTAGTCTCCGTATGAGCATTAATTCTTCATTATAGAGATATTATAATGAAGAAAAACAAAAAGATAAATATTTTTTAGGAATAAATGTTATAGCAGTTCCATATCTTCTGTCAAATGGTTTCTGCCAGCCAGCTTCATATTCATAATAATAGTTTACTTTAAAATTCGAAACTCAGTCTTGTGACTATGGTTAGAAAGAAAATTCAGAAAATAAGTAACATATATAGCTTATCCATAAACCTATCTGCTTAACTTACTATAGTCCCTAATAAACAGAATATTCAAAAAAGTAAAGGACTATTTTCTTATATTTCTATTATAAACCTAATATTTCTTTCAAAGTTAAATAAAAGTAGGAAGCTATCTAATTTTTCTTTACTACACTGCCAGATTTTAGAGAGCATCACATCCTGAAGCAATGTGCTATTCATGCTAATCAAAAGTACTTACTTTATCTAGAGTAAATACTATATTATAAGGCAAAAAGGAGTATAAAAACGTTTAGCATTGTACGAAATAAAATAAGTTATATAAGTTAATACTTAAACTTACTTTCATCTGGGCGTCGTCTGGGTGTGATTTTCAGGCGGGATCTGAGCATCAGAGGTTTAGTGTTAGCTAGATTTATCACTTTGGGGGCCTAAAAAGAGATAAAATTTATCGTGAAAAAAAGCAGAGTTTAGCTAATGAATAAAGTGCTAAGATTAGATCGGTATCAGCAACGAAAAGGTTTCTGAATGATTAGCTTAAAATGTTTGATCTTTTGTTTGGAGATCACTTGATGGATGCAAGGTTGAAAATTAAGAAATTTACGGGAATTATTTAGAAGTTAATGG